TAACTTCCAGCTTATTTTTCTAATTTACTATCTTAAATTTAGACATAAATGGCAACTTTATTGAACAATTGTCATTATGTTTAAGTTACTTGTAACGAAATACAATGTTTAGGTACCGTACTCTGTGAAGAGCTAATAATGTAGGGTTATCAATATTTTTTGAACTGCAAAGTTATTATTATGTTTTTATTTTATCCACGTTTCACGAACAAATCTAGGTCTGATAACCTTAGATAGAAGATTTTCCTATTAACCATGTGAGATATACGCTGTCGACCTTATTATGGCATGAAATATTTGGAAATAATACTGCAACCGACACTCGTATTCACAATTATTTTCTCTCCATTAATGATTGTTCATGACTCTAGTGAAATAATTTTTAGTTATGTTCAATTGTTTTAACCAAACCTTTGGATCCAGTAGTCGGTAGCGATTGGTAATTGTAGCAAGTAATTACATTCGGGTTGCCTTTCAGCGGCGATCACGAAACTAGCCAACCTAACTAGTAGCTAATCAATAACACAATGTAATATAATTGAGAACTCACGATTTCGAACGAGTGGAGCAACGTCTGGCAACAAAACAATATTCTGGCAGGGGACTGATGTTAAACATCTATTGGTAAATAGTCGACGGTAGTCATGTTTTTATAAATATCAGAAGAAAATGCTTTGCCATCTAGTGACAGTTTGGCTATAGATTACGCGAGTAGTACATTAATGTAAACAAATTTTAACGGTTTAAAACGCGAAATATATTACTTAACTAATTTCGAATCTTCGAAAAGTTTGTATTTAAACAGTATCGGAATTCTAAATTATTCATTTCCGAATGTTCTTCATTCTTTTATTGTTTATTTTGCTTCAACATCTACTAAAGTATTTAATGTTATAGTTCGTATACATAGTATATTACAATTATACGCAAGATATTAAGAGGATGATTACCAGTCTTTTGTTGTATTTGTAGTACCTATACACAAGTCAACTTTAATACCAAAAAAGTGTTTTTTTTTTAAATGATTTTTCTTTATAGCAATAAAAAATATTATGTGCGCTTTATTTTTTTCTTACGGTAACGTTTGTAAAGTATATATTGTTTTGGTAATTTCAAAAATTAAATTAACAAAACACTTCACAGCATAGGAGAATTCTCAATAGTTGAAAGTTCCCCGCGTTTTTATTAACACCTTCTTCACTTTACCTCTTAATCACAATTGCGCCATTGTTTCGTACGCCAATTATACTACAATTTGCATGGCCAATTTTCATGATGACTTATTTCCGTCACATTTTGGGTTTCCCTCAAATTAATTGCAGAAAAAAAAACGAGTATGTCAAAAAACAACGTAATATACGTTGTTTTTTGACATACTCGACATACTTGTCAACACAATAAACATGATATTTCTTTTTTGTGTTGATTAAAAGTATAAAACTATATCGCACTTTCTAATAACAAAACCGAACAACGATTCATGTATTTTTTTGACAGATGATAGAGAAGCATTTTTTGGTTTACTTGGAAGGTGGAATACCAGCCACAAGGCATATAAGAAATCTTTGATTTACTACGCTATCCAAATAGGAAAGCCAGCTTCTTAAAATATTCGATTTCAAAGCACTTTATCGCAGGCGATATTGATGATTAAAAATACTCTTCATCGGAACCGGTCGGACAGCGTTTGATGACATTTACATTATGTTAACAAACCCGGCGAGACACCTCATATCCGTAATGGGAAAAGAAAGTGCTTCAACAATGAAATTATGATTAGAGCTAGTTGTTTCTGAGATTCATTCTTTTGGCAGGTTGATGGGGAAAACATATGTCGCTCATATGTCAAAATATGTTGACGAGATTATTTTGCAAATTAAAGCATTTGATACTTAACAGTACTTATAAGTTGACAGTCGTTATAATGTTACCAGTATGGTAAAATGGGTAAAGCGCGACAAGTCCTAAATTAATATCCCGGGAAAAGATATAAATATTATCTATATACTAGTAAATAAAATCGATCTGCCGAAAAGACACAAAAAGGTGTCACACACATAACCTCGGACTTACCTCTGTAACTCTATTGGCTAAATCACGCTTGAGAAAAGAGTATCTACTTAGCTTTAGGAAATACGTCTTCTTATGGTATTTTATCAGTTCACGAATTATTGCAATTTTTTTAGTTATTAATCAGCAAATTCAAAATATACTTGGGTTTTCAAGGTGCATGAAAACCAGATTTAGAAAATGGCCGAGACCTACTAAAATTTGAAATCTCCAAATTGGTTAAGTTAAAATAAACATGTCCCATTATAATATTATACAAACTTAAATTAAATAGGGCATACATTTCTTGACTCAAACCTCGCAAGAACATTATTACTACAATTGACAGTGAAATGAATTTCACTGACTGCAAAGGATTAGTAGCTATTCACCCACGTTATCGATTTGTCTAACGGGGAGACCTTAACTGGGAAGTTTTATGGTTTCTTACGTCATTGCTCGTCTTCCTACACAGTACAAATTAAAACCAATAGAGTTCTTCTTATTAAAAGTTATTTGATTCTTGTCTTTCCCACTTATGGCTGGGAGTCATGTAAAAATAACGCCACGAAAAGATACAAATCTTAAAGATATTTCAGAACGGCGCGGCCAAGTAAAACTGATAAGATTTAGATGTTAAACCTGTTTGACTTGCCGTTGAAATGCAAAGACCAAGGTTGTCAAGAACATGCTTTCGCTTGCAAATTGTACGCTTGAATGCGGATCAGGTCATCTAAACTTCTTCATCGAGGTACTGCCGTTGAGATGTGATAAGCATTTGGGGATTATATCGCATCTTTGGCGTTAACAACCGGTCTTTATAATTTCGCGAGCGCCGTGAACGCCTCTTGATGGTGGTCAACCACGTACGGTTCGGAGTTCGATCTCGCTTGGTGCATTGTGATATGTGCTCTTCGAACATCGTAAGAAAACGTCTTAGAACCAAAATCGACACAATCTATCTACGTTTTCGGCAATGGTAGGGCGTATATGACAATTAGAATATTTAAGGGGGGGCCTAAAAAAACTAAAGTAACCCTCCATTCTACTTCTTTGTATAGTTTTGTTTGCTATTAACTAATGGTTACAATTTATTTTCCTTATAAAATGCTATGATCTATAACGACCTCAAGTCACCATTGAAAATATGTACATTGAGAAAAATTATTGTTAGTATAACGCAGCTTATAAGATGTCACGATGACTGTCCACATATATATATCCAACGTTTATTGCCTGCATATAGTCTAAAATGCGGCTCTTAAGTCTACTTGCAGTCACTACTATTGACGTAGTGTTAATCAGATCATAAACACAGATAATACATTACCACTAATTTATGTAAATAACTAATTATTGAATATCATTGACCGATCTGCGATCTAGAATATTGCCAGGTTGCGTTATGTGATATAATAATTAGAAAGTTATGTGCAAGATGGCTTTGTGCAACATAATAGTGGATGTAATGTATAGATCGCAATGAGAGCGAGTTGCGCAAACAGAAATAGATTTAAAATGTGATTTTATGGATTGCATACTACCCACATCGTCACGCTTCATTGGTACGCGGATGCCAGGGGAGAAATCTCGACTAGATGGACGATTCAGATTGCTGCTTCAGTTAAGAGCGGGTCAGCGTGTTTACGGCGGTATTATGATAATTAATTGCGTATAAAATATTACTACGGCCATCAAATTTAACTAGAGAAACTTGTGTTGGAGGTACAAATTGCTCTTTGTCTGTCGTTGCTTTACTGTTTTGTAATTCTATTAGTTCCACCCTTTGAACCAAGAACTTCGGGGGGCCACGACTTCTTAACTCACCGCTTCAGTATTAAATATTTTCGTATAAAAAAATCTCAAACAATAATTTCGTTCCATCCGCAATTTTAACTCTGCACCTCATGATCTTTCTACACTTGCATTAGACTGAAGGCTGGGCCTCTAACCATACGATATCTTATCTAATGAAAAAATACGTCCATCCTTATCGTTTCTTATCTCTGATGAGATTGTTGAAGATTTCCTAATATATGAGTTTATTTGCATAGTGACTAACACTTCTATAACAGGAGTTAGAGTGTGGGCGACGCGAAATTTTTAATTACTCAACTTCCTTTTAGAAGACAAAAACAATATTTTATTGAAGGCTGTTTTGTATCACTGACATTAGAAAAGGTTACGACTGTTGCTTTCTGCTTAGATGCCCGTGGGCGTAGCTATTAATTGCTGTAGATATTAATAGTGTAATAATTATAAAAAAATACAATATAAAGGCGCTGCTCTTCAAACTTTAAATAAAAGAAACCATTTTATAATTATAGTCGTTTTAAGTGACTCTATAAACAGAAATTCCGTTCACTTAAGTGTCAATAAATCATTAACTAACATTACTAATGAGATTCTTTAATAACTGTTGCAAATAATTAAAATACGAGTACTAAAATATTCTAATCAAATGCATACTTTAATATTTTACACAAGTTATTGGACATGATGCCACTATATACATTGAAAACACATTTTTATCGCGCGAGAGCTGCATGGAGATTGTATATGCATATTCACGGTAGCTCATTTGGTTAGAGCAAACAGCACGGAACGCTGTAGATGCCAGTTTGAGTTCCGCCCGTGTTGTATTTTTTTTCAATTACATATATGTTACTGGAATACCAAGTAGTACTAGCTAGTATAGTAGGATCTAGATCCAGACACACCTTTACCAAACTTACGAAAATAGTACATAAGGGCCTGTCTAGCCTGTGTGCAACGTGACATTCGGCCTTGCAAATCGTAGCACCTTCGTGACGTTTCGCACACAATCTTACGACCTATTGCCATCTCTGTTACACCCAATGAATATTGTGCTCGACTCATTCGAATTTCCACAGGCGACGTTCGAGGAAACTGACTCAGCTGAGTGCTAGTAACGAATTCGCTGTGCTAAAATGATTCTTATATGTTTGGTTCATACGGTGGTAAATCGCGTGAAACGTAACAGTTACGTGGTAAGCCGTACTATATCGTGCCTTCTCTTTTTATCGGTCCCGCACAGCTGCCTCCGGTCAGTACGTTAGAAGCATTGACGTAGTGTGGACCGCGATCGTTGCGTCTTATCAAATCAGTTATATTAAATAACGATACACAATACTACTTACAATTAATAACATAATTGTTTACCAAAGTGCTTACGTGTTGTACCGTCGTTTTGTTAACGTCATTCGTTAAAGATTCGATTCGGTTCTGAAAAAGTGCAGTGACAGCGACCTTTTGTTAAATAGGGAGCGGTAACAATTACCGAGTGAAGTGCTAGTGTATTGGCCCAGTGTCCCCAGTGTCGGCGGTATCATAGCGCTCGTGGGCAGAGTGACTGATGGGAAATTGTTCGGTTGGAGTGTGTCAAAGGGGGCGACATGCGGGCCAGCGTGGTTGCGACTAGCAAACGTGGATACCGGCAAAACGGCGGGGACGGAATCACCCACGGGCCTTGCACCACAGGTTGGTTTGATAGGTCAGATGTGTTGGCGGCTGTGGTAGATCAGCAGGCTAAAAAAAGATAAAGGCATTGATTTGAGTCATAAAATAAACTACAAATTAAATATTAAAGACCTACATCAAATGAACTTAAGTATAACCAGAAGCCCCCGTATCTAAGTTTGCATAGAACCCGAAATCGAGGGCCGTAGTTAAAGTAAATTGTAAATAAGCAAACTGAATATATTTCGCGTTTTAAACCGTTAATTTTTTTTATTGAAATGTGTATTATTCGCGTGAGCTATAGACAATAGTATCATTTGCTGTTTTAATTAATAAGCTGTTGATTGGATCCAGTAGTATAAATTCATTGTTCATAGTAGTTGATTAAGTCTACACAAATCCTGTTAGTAATTTTTAGGAAAATAAAATAAGTTTTCCCTATAGCTACACGTTTTATTATAAGCCATAAACTAAATTAGTTATTTTCCTCTTCTGGAGGAAAATGCAATGTTGACACGTGAAGCATCACACAATGAAGTCTCGTCTTTTAATATTTATGATTACTAATACAACTTAAAACATTAAACATTTTATTAATAATTTGGGTTGTAAAGTTGACATAGACTTGATAACGTTTTATATTAGTGATAGAAATAATTTAAATTAAACTTATATTTTATTACTTCGGGTATTAATAGAATATAAGTTAAAAATAATAATATTTTGCTACATGATGGCATTATATAAATTAAAAATCGAAAATAAATTGAAATTAATTACGACTCGGGCAGGACTTGAACCGGCATCGTCAGCGTTCCCTACATACGAAGGACTCGGTAGCTCAATTGGTCAGAGCAACAGCACAGAACGCTGACGCTGCCGGTTATAATATATTAGGTAATTTAACCTAACGTATTCGTTTCAAACCGTTATTTTAAAGAAATAATCTCCTTATTAATTTTCCATTTTTATCAAATTTTGATAATTTACAGCTCGTTTTTCTACTTCTGCTCTGTTTCTTTATTATTTTTAATTCACAAAACGCCTTTCTAAAGTTTCTAATTTATAAATCGGAAGTAAAAAATTCATAATCTTGCGCACTGTCCGACTTACTATTTGTGTATTTTAAAATCGAGCAGCGGAAAAAGTTTGTTTTGTTGTGACGCCCACCCGCCGAGCAGCTCGAAAGAAGTATAAAAGAAACGAAATTAAATTTATTTTATTGAAAATGCTGAATCCGTAAACGCATGGCGAATTGACTTGTACTAGTAATATCTAGATTCTAGACCACAGCGGAAAGTATAGATTTTCATTTCGTATAACGAAATTCGTTAAAATTAATTACAAGTTATTTTAACAACGATCCGCGTTGAATGTTTTATTTAAATGCGTTCTACATGCGTAAACTACAGACATTACTTATGAATTTACCTACTTAAACTTCGTTTTTGTATGCCGTAGTGTACGAAGATATATGTTTATTACCGTAAGATGGCGCTAAGGTAGATGTCAACCTTATAGAATAAGTTGTAAAGGTTTTTCTATAAAAATCGGTTTATTTGTTGCGACTAGGTTTTATAACAAACGCTCACCTTCTTATTAGAGACTCGTTTTATAAAGTTATTTTTTGCTTTAAATTATTGTTGAGATACTATTTATTAAGGAAGCATTTACACACGTACATAGTTTAGTGGACCGCGTCAACAAATTTTAAAACGTCACCACAGTGAGTCTAGCAGAACGATAATCTAGCGTAATAAAAAGTTTTACAGTACATTACATAACGCTTTTCACAATGTTTATTAAATAAAACCTCATTGCTTACAGCAATCACTCACACGTGGAAATAGACCCGTGACTTCGCTGATAAGACGGTATTGAACGTGACTTAAACTTACTCAAAACAAACAATAAGGCTTGCTTCAAACTATACTTTATTAATATTATGTGGCTGAAGACTTTGCTTGTTTAAACGCGCTAATCGCAGGAAAAATTGTTTTTGTGTTGGTTAAAGAATTTATCGAGAGAGGGTTTAGGAATAGAACATCACGTTGCGACCGAGGAGAGAAGCAACAGTGGAAAATGTGGAATAAATGGGGGAAATTGAATAATTTCTGATATAAGCTGAATAGCTTTGAGGGCTTTAGTTGTGTTCGCTGCGAAAATGGATCCTCGATAAATGCTTTAGCCAACACAAATATTTTTTCAATTGAAACCCAATTTTTACAATTGAATTGATTAGTTCCTGAGATCAGCGCGTTTAAACAAACAAACTCTTCAGCTTTATAATTTTAGTATAGATATTCTTTTACTGCTTAGTGACTTGAAATTTAGTCTTTAGATTTGTATGTGTTAACGGGAAGGTTAAAAACAATAGTCGTGGATTTTTTAAACACAAAAAATTCTTATGGCGTTTCTAGTTATTCACAGTGTAGAAATTACTACAACTATAAAATAAAACAAACGCTTGAAGGTGTACAGCAAATTAATTATAATTTATCAAATCTGTATGTAGGTGTGAGTGGGAAAAGACGTATGTTGCCAAATTGAATCCTGCGCAGATGACGGCGAAGGTGGTACGTGAGTGGTAACCTTGCAACCACTGACATTGTACGCATTTTTATATCGCAGGCGAATTGCAAAACTCTACAATATACAACACTATATACGTCAAAGAATTATTTGTTAATGAAATAACCGGTTAGTTGTGGTTTCGACTGTGTCGTTTTTTTTTACTTATACATATTTTGATAAGTCTGTTTACGGTCTCTCTTAATATAACGCTCCGCTCTCTAAACACACTGTGAAGTCCCAGTAACCTGTAAAGTACTAATTGTGTCTGTTCAATACTCCTAGTAGGAAATATTACAACATAAATGCATTGAAAGTACAAATTTTGAAAAAAAATTGTGCACATGAAAAACACTTAACACGTTTCGTACAGTTTTTACTTTAAACAAAATGTCAGCTACATTTCGAAAAGAAGGAATTGAGCTAAATGATAATTTCTGAAACACGTTGGACTTCGTATGAAAATCTAGATTAAATGCGTCGCCTTTCAGACTCAGTATTTCTAAAGCCTAAATAGGTCTGCAGCACGTGTTGAAACGTTATATAGCTGGGCTACTTCGTCTTCCATCAAGTCTTCCATAAAAAATGTTATATATAATCACTTTTTTAAAGAAAGGACGTTTAAACGCGAAATGTGTTAGTTACACTTATCTACCATTTTTTTCGTCGTTTCGGTTGCTTAGCAACAGCCGTAGTCACGGGGAGACCGAAGGTGTCCCTCGTGTCAAATCTTCTACACTAGCGCCATCTATTTCCTTATTGTTGGTACTCGGAGAAACTGGATCCTTTCAGAATGTTTAACTTTAAATGTGCGCTACTCGCGTAAACTGCAGACAATACAAACGATGGACTCTTTAGCTGCCAAGTCTTAAATGGCTTGAAGCGGTCCCAACCCCGCCTTATTTGTGGCCAGTGCGGGTTCGTTGTTCAACCCGCGTAACGTGGTTGATGTTACAACGGCACTTTCTATGTTATCTCCAGATCGCCACGAGGCGCTTTCGTCTCGCCAGTCAATATAACGAATTATATCGCGATTGATAACCGGCTATAAATATACTCAAGGCCCTTTACTGTATGTACATATACACAAAACAGTAAGTTTACTTTTCAATTAACTCCAATATTACAGTCTTTATTTCAACTATTTTGTTATGTGACTTATTGAATAAAAAAATGTTAAAGATCCTTATGATAGTAGTTTAAAATGTTCGCTGATTTTTGAAAAGATATCTTTGAAAGCGCGAAAGTTTCTATTGATTACCTATAGAATTATAATAAACACATATAAATAATGATTAGTAGGTATGTAACAATGTCCCTTCTGTATTGTTATGTATTTAATTATCGTACGTTTTGATATTATTGCTTAAGTTGAGCCAAATTTAGGTTTCTCAATGTGTGAGCTGCGTCTTCAGGAGCGTTTGTTTTGGTATGGAAGAATATAAAAAGAACACGTACAAGTTTGAAAGGGCTGTTTACCCTAATACGTCACCAATCTCGAAATAACAACCTACGAAATTGAGACATCGCTGCCTGTAAATAATAATTTAATTTAGTTATCAAGAAAAAGAGGCTTCGTTATAATTAAGTTACTTAAATCAGTTAAAAGTCAAAGACTATATAAGAATATAGCCTTTAGTCATATCAATAATCAAAATAGAATCAAGTTTCTTATTAATATCAAGCACAGTTCTTAGTTAATTTATAGTAGTAGTGTTGCATAAGGAATATAATATTTGTTTCTAAAAATTACATTATGTGGCATTTCAAGTTTCAACTACGTAATGTTAGCCTTCAGTGAATTGCAAAACCTGCGGTCGTTTGCTATTTGCGGCTATGAACTGTTCTGTATATGGACAGTATAAATTAAAAAAAAATACAACATTTATTGAATAGAACACTTTTAGCTGTTTGAGACGTGAAATGTAATATGTACTATTTTGAATTCCATTGTTAAAAAACTTAAATTGTAATTAACACAATTGTTTTGACAATTGACGGTACGGCGATACCACAGACGACTAATTTTTGTTTATCTGTAATGCACAACGTATGTAATTGGTTATATTATCTATGATACACGATATTTGTATTTATATTTATAATGTGATTTTGTATCTGTGGTGCAAATAGCAAAATTTATATATGTAAAAGAGCTCAAACTAAGGTTAGAAAATATAATATTCTTTTGAATACCGTTTAATTTGTGGTTAAAAATAAAATATACAAAGAAAATATTATCACGCTTTGTCATACCTCCTATAGACACATTGACATTGGCAGAATCCATTAAGAATGGTGAGGGCAAATTAAGAATTAGAATAAGACGTTACAACATTAGTACACGATGTTAGTTAATTTTGATATAATCTGTGGCCGCAATATACTTGATTATATGAACAGTTCTTAACAAAAGTACTAAACCCGTTGCATTATGTCATTCAAACCGC